CCCATCTGAGCATCAGTTCAAGTATCAGCAGCTCCACTTTTGAGCTCCCCGCTGATGTGTCTGGGAAATCAGTGGAAGATAACCCAAGTGCTTGGTCCCCAGCCACCGAAGCAGAGACCCAGAAGGAGCTGCAGGTTCCTTGGCTTCTGCTTGGCCCATCCCTGGGCACTGCAGCCACTTGGGGAGTGAACAAGCAAATGGAAGCTTGTTCTCTCAGTCTCTTTAAAACACAATTTCTTGAATCCATCATTTCCTCTGCTATGCTACAGTCACTGTTCCTGTAAAGGCTCTTTTCTTATCTGGGGTCTGAGTAACTGCAGTTTAAGTCTGTTACTGAGGCTTTTCCCATTTCAAACATTCTTTTACATTACTGCTTAAGAACAAATCTAATTGTTCCATTCCCACCTCCTTTAAAATTCCTGTTGGTTACACTGTTACTCATTTAGCAGTCTTGGACCACAGGTAGTCAATGTTGGATGAACAGAAAAGATACCCTCTTGCCTAGCAGACTTTTTTTTTTTTTTGGCTTTAATGTTTATTATGATTGTTTTCAGTAGGATTAAGATAAAAATATAGATGTAACAAGGTATGTTTGTTGCATAGAAACATTAAAAACATGATTATGTCTTTCTATAATCCAATAAAACATACATTCAGAAACACCCACCTGGATCACATTTTACATTTCATCCATTTCATGATGTTTTAAGCACCTTCTCTGCACTGATAGGTGCTGGGGACACAGTATTGAGTGAAACCCTGTCCCTGATTCCACAGGGCTTCTGTTCCAATGATGACAGACTGACTTACACACACACACCCTAGAGTCAGGAGTCAAGAGGGTTTCCAGGGGGATTGGAAAGTGGGGCTTTTGTATACCATCTAACTTTTTAAAACAAGAAATTTGAGGTATTAAATGCCATAACCTCTTTTTTGGGGGGAAAAATATATAGTATATTTAAAGCAACTTTTTAATAGGCTGCAATGTTCTGATCAAATGCTTAATATTCTGAGCATCATTTCTTTTAATTAGACTCTATACTAATAAGCATTTTATAGCCATACTCCTGGAGTAAGGCCCAGACTGTGGGCTGTCCTGTGTAGGTATTGGTACGTATGCATGTTTACACAGACTTACATGCACTGTACAGATGGTCATGCAGACAATCAAGAGTCAACCTAGGCCAGCGCCGAGGCTCAATAGGCTAATCCTCCACCTGCGGCACCGGCACACCAGGTTCTAGTCCTGGTTGCCCCTCTTCCAGGCCAGCCCTCTGCTATGGCCCGGGAGTGCAGTGGAGGATGGCCCAAGTGCTTGGGCCCTGCACCTGCAGGGGAGACCAGGAGAAGCACCTAGCTCCTGGCTTCGGATCAGCGCGGTGCGCTGGCCCCAGCGCGCCGGCCATGGTGACCATTGGAGGGTGAACCAACGGCAAAAGGAAGACCAGAACTCTGTCTCTCTCTCACTGTCCACTCTGTCAAAAAAAAAAAAAAAAAAAGTCAACCTACTCCAGGCAAGGCTAGAAGATGCTAATTTTGCTCCATGTCTATATAAAAGTCAGCCAATGTTATAAAGCAATCACATTCACGAACTCTACATGGAGTAATACAGATGGTTGCGTTCCATCTTCCTTGCCTCTTGCTTTCCTGCCACAGATCCAGCATTTACCATCTCAACAAGCATGCAGATAAAGTAGGAATGAATTTACTGATTTTCATGACATTTCTACAATCTTATTATACTTTTAAAAACGGCCACATTTCTCAACATTATTTTCCAACACCTTTGTGATTCAGGTATTGACTACAAATCCGAAATGAGGAAACATTTATTCATGATTATCATCTGTGCATGTACCAGCTTTGGGGTAACACAAATATGAAGGACAAGATACAAGCTCATCTTCTATCTCCTGCCATCACCGACTTTCTTTCATGCAGAAGATACTTAAACTTTGTATGTCATTATGTTGCTTCAATCATCTTTGCCTCCATCCATTTCAGTCACAGACTTCCTACATCTAGATTGGCCTCTAGCTTTTCAGCATTAACTTCTGCCCTTAACCTCCATGAACCTCACTGAAAAACGAATCTGTTGATATCTCCCTATTCTCAAGTGTACTGGTCACCTCACAGCTTCACTTACTGCCCTACACAGCTGCTCCTAGGACACACCGATTCACTCTGATCAGCATCTTCTTCAAATCCCTTGCCTGTGCTGTTCTTTTACTATGCAGAACTTCAATAGACAAATCCATCCTATTCACTCAGTATACTGAATGCCTAATTTATAGTTTCTGCTTTTTTATTCCCAGTGTTGAATGCTACTAGGACCAAAAGAAATCACAAATCTCAGTATACCACAAATTTAAACTGCCACTTCAGGTGAGGTCTCATTAGCAACTCTAAACCTTTTCTGCATTCCCTTCAAGAGATATTTTTCAATTCCTCTCCTCAAGCTTAATCCTACTCATGATCCAATATTTTCACAAGTTGGAATTCTTCCTATCTCAAGGAGAAAAAGGCTTTAAGGCATGTCTGACATCCTAAGAAATGATCCGTATGGGCAGGCAATGGCACAGCAGCTTGTCTACTTGGAATGAGGTCTCCTCCCACGTTAAATTAAAACCAAAAAGCAAACCCTCCTAAACGCTACTCTTCTTTACATATTGATTGCCTGTTGAAGTGTAATCAATCAATGAGAATGTAGTGAAAGGGGAGGAAATCAAAAAGGCAAACAGTGACCATCAAAGGCAATTTCTTTAGAAAAGGGCCAGACATTAGCATCCTAGTCTCACTTATAAGGCAAAATCTGTAGATTTGGGGAAGTTGATACATCTACTACTGTTTATCCCAAACTCAGAAACAAGCTTGATTATGGCTCTGAATGCTGTCACCAAATTTCTGACAAAGAGGAACTCCTTCTTCCCATTCCGGCAACCAGCATTAGAAACAGCCTAAAAAGGTATTATGGCCCCAAGACCACAAGGTGCCTTACAATAAAAATTTCCAACTCCAGGGCTGTGCTACTGGCTCAGGGTGTTCACATCCTCCAGTGTTTTTCTTCATGAGGGAAAACTTCCAGCAACAGTGGGTTGTCAGCCTCTTTTGCATAGAACCCTTTACCTGCATACATACCAACATTACTGCAACTGGATGGGGCAGTGCGGCCCTTGGACCAGATAGCCCCTAGAGGAAAGATCAGACTTGACTACTTAGTCGTACTGTTTCCAGGTTCTGACCCCAAGGAAGGATCATTAATGAGCAAGGATAAAACCCTTGGTTGCATTCCTTTTATACAAAACAAAGTAAAAAACCTGAGGTAAAACACTGTGGACACTCAATTAAGAGAACCAATTAAAATATGCTGTTAGTCTAAAGCTTATAGACAGTGGAACTTTCCTGAAAGCAGGTCTTAGTCAATTTTTAAAATCTCTAGCACCTATTCATCCAACCAGTATCTCAAGTACTAATGTAACACAGTGAAAGGATATGACAGTACAGATACATAGTCATGTAGTTGTCACAGAAAGTACAAACTGGTGCAAGACAAAGCATTCAGCAATCAGTTACCAGCTGCGATTTCTCTGAAGGAGTGTAAATTGTTCATTAAGCAAAAGACTGGGGGAGGGGCATACTTTAACAGAAACCTGGTTTTGCCAGGATGGAACTCAATATCCAGAAGAAAAATATCACATTATGAAGGCTCTGATGTAGTAGGGAGGAGACCTATAAAAGGCTGGTGTGGTCTGAGCATGCATAAAGTGACAGAAATGCTGACAATGGACTGGAACCTGACCAGGCAGAGATTCATACATCATTATTATGTTGGAGAAAGGGAAAGGTATAAAGCAACAGTGGTTGCAGCAGACCTGTTATTGGTGGTACAGGTAAAAAATATGGCTGCCTAGACTAATTGATATAGACATAGTATTAAAAAAGAGATTCAGCAATTAGATGAGGGAGCTAGAGAAGTAATCAAATACTCGGAAATTTAGGGCTTAAATATTCAAGAGGATGACAGCAACACAAATTGTTTTAAGTGTTTAGCTGAAAACGTGAAATCACAATGCAGAATAAAATAGCGTTATTAGCTTCTAACACTCATTAAAAGTCATATTGTAACTATTTCAAAATATATTCCTTGATCAACTATAGTTTCGCACAGGCACAACTTATTTTTGGCTCACTAAAAACTGTTAACATCAATTTCAGATCCCTGTAATGTTAAACCAGTATTCTACTGCTCTTAAGATAAACAAATCCTAAACTTGGCCTAGAAAGCTTGTTCCCTCATTCTTTGTGCTGTGGCAAACCCTGCTTTCTTTTTATTCTTGCAAAGAGCTAGGCTCCCTTTCTACCCTTGGATTTCTGTACACATTGTCCTGTTCTAACACCAATTCTACTCATCAATATCACCTTGCTTTCTGGATTCCAATTCAACCATCACTTCCACCTGAGATTAGGACTCCATTACATACTCTTAAGAAAATTATACTTTCTGTTCAGAGAACTTACTGTAGTTTGGAATACTGTATTTACATAAATATTACCTGTCTCAATTCAACAGTCAGTAAGCCCCCTAAATGAGGGGAGCACGTATGTTTTGTTCTAACACAGAACCTGCCTTACAACAGACATTCCCACTGTCACTGAATAATGAATGAATATGGCCGAATTTAGTTCAAGATCTGCTATTCTCTGGCAGTACAACAGTTTTCTAAATGTGGAATGATTTTATCATCACCAAAACATCAACATAGCTACTTTGTATAAAAGCATTACCAATGTAAAAGAGGTTTCCTAAGAGCATTTGTGTTTTTAGTAAGCCAAATGCCACCTCACTGCATTTTGCTGAAGACAGAAAAACCCAAAATCATACTGAAGAACCGAAATAACCATTAAAGCTGTCAAGTATTTATAAACATGTATCACCTATGCTTTAGATTTTGGCTCTACCATTTTTTTTTAAAGCAATACTGCATAGGAAAATTTGTGAATTCTTGTTTTAAAGTGTTACCGTTTTATTTTTTTCTTCCTTTTGTTGAATACACATGTGTTTTACTGGCAGTCCAGATAAACAAGTATATAAAGGAAAATACTAAATTTTTCTGACAGAAGATAAACTGTGCAGATTAAAATGCCTTCTCAATTTATCCCAAAGAAATAGTTTTGAATCATACAAATTTTTAAGAAAAATAAAGACTGCCCAAAGGGATTCTCCTAGCATAACACATTTCCAGAATAACTCTCAAAATAAAAAAAAAAATTCAAAAATACTCATTGACTACCTTAAAAATGTCAATACCATATGGCTTTATGAAATAACTTCTAAAATTTATACGTTTTTATTTAAAAAGGATCCCAAGTTTTAAATAAACTGCTAACAATATCTTCTTCACTTAAAAGTGCATATCTCAGAGTGGGACATACATAACTTTTTGAACAAATAATGATTTTTTTACAAATTAACACAAAAAAATCACAAAATATTTTAAGGGGAAAGTTTTCAATCTAAAGTCATCTTTAAATAGACTGTAATAGATGACATTGTTCTTTTTCCTTTTTATACCATCAAAACTCTCAATGAGATGCTTTTAAGACCTATCCGTCTCTACCAAGAGACACTGACATTAATGATGTCCGTGGAGATGGCAACTGCCTTAATGGCTCAGACTGAAGAGACACATTACTGGGCTGGTTCTCCAAATCAGAGGCAAAGGTGCTCTCTTCTCTCACGTCAAGAGTTTGTTCAACTGAAGTTGCCTGGGGTGGAATAACATCCACAGTTTTGTTGCCATTATTTAAGTTGCTAGTAAGTGTGGTAATGTCACAGTCTTTATCCAGGACTCCAAATTCATCTTCTATTGTAACAACCTCTTTAGTTTCGAATGGTTCCAAGGAAGGAGCCAAAAACTCATTATGTAGAGGGTCTGGAAGACCATTATTGTCATATTCTGTATCTTCTTTGACTTCAGAATCCTTATCACTGTCACTGTCAATGGTAATAACAACTGGGGACCGTGAAGTATTATCTCCATGGTGTTTCTTATGCTTCTTCTTGTGTTTCTTCTTTTTCTTTTTATGATGTTTAGCTGTATCAGTAGCTTTTCCTTCATAAACTATCTCCACACTTAGGCTCCTGGTTTTCCTTTTCCTCCTCTTGTGTTTTGTCTCTCTGTCTGATGATCGGCTGTCTGAAAAGCTATCACTCTCATTTTTATAGTTTCCATCCAATTTTGATGAAGATTTTTGATAATGGCTATCCTTCACTTTAGAAGCAAACTCACGGGACGGTTGAGCCACTTCATTAGTACCCTCCAAATGCCGTGTTTTATATTTTCGTTTCCCACCAGGCTTTTCATTTCTCATTCGGTCAGGTCCTGTAGATGCAGTCCTTGATCTATTACTAGACAGGCTCCTTGATCTGTGCCTTTCATAATAGTAATATTTCCTTTCATTGTGATTATTCTTTTTCCTGGCATTTCTTTCAGAAAAAGACTGAATTCTAAATTCTGGACTTGAAGATTGTCTGGAATAGTGGGCTCTAGACAGAGTCCTCCTCCTATAAGATGATTCATAGCCATCCCTGTCCTTGTTTCTACTATAGTAAGTATATTCCCACTTGTATCTGCTTCCATAATTATTTCTTAAATAGTAACGATCTCTATTTCTGCTCCGTGATCTTCTTCTCCCATGATCACTGCTACGAGACCTTGATCTGCTTGTGCTTTCACTACTTAGAGAGAGAGTTTGGCTTCTTCTTGACCAACTGCTATCTCTAGTTCGTGATCTCTTTTTGTCTCTTCTCCCTCTAGGTCTACTACTCTCCCTGCTTCTGGATCGTTTGCTCTTCACTCTTTTCTTCCCATGATGTTTTCTATGATTTTTCTGATCATGCCCACTTCTACTTTGGGACCGTGAATCTGAACTTCTTGATCTTCCCCTCTTCCTGTGTCTATGGTTATACAGGGAATTTACTCTGTCTCCTCTCAGGTCTCTGGGAGATGATACTGATGTAGATCGTTTTTCTTCCTTCTTTGATTTGATTCTTGTACCAGAATCACAACGGCCTTTATTCATTTGCTCATTCTTTCCAAGGACAGAGCGTGGAGATGAACATCTACTCACATCACTATCACTGGAACTGTAAGACTGCTCTTGTTCTTGTGCCTTCACTGTCTCCATTTTCTCATACGAGCCTAACTCCTCAGAATCAGAGGACAGTTCAACAAGTTCTGGGGTCCGCTCAGCTAGTGGTTTAACAAACCCAACGATGACACAATTATCTGAAGAATCATCACTGTCATTATTTAGGTCCTCATTGGTTTGCACACCTTGTATCTGAGATGTGGCTCCGCCTGTGACAAGTTCTTCATCTGAGCTGTCCGAAGTATTTAAAACGGAAGACATGGCAACATGTACCTGCTCTGAGCTTGAGTAAGATGGTCCTGGAGTTTCATCATCCCACGGTGCCTGACTAACAGTGGCAATGTTCATATCCAGTTCTTGGGTCTCGGCTTCATCTGGAGATATTGTTATGACTGAAGAATCAGAATGGCTGCCTTCTTCATATGAAGGAGCAGGGCAATCATAATTGGCATGTTGATCAAAAGCTGCCATATTAAAAGGAGATCGAGCAAAACTGATAAATTCATGTATAAAATGCTCAGTTCGATTAAGTAAAAATGGCCTTAAGTCAGACACAAACGCCTGACTCTCCAAGTCATAGCGAGTCACATTACTCATGATGATGTGCTGGACAATATTGACTAAAGATCCATGAGCTCCAAAAAGAACTGTGAGCTCACGTTTTAGCCAGGGGACTAATCTATGAAGGCAAGCTGGATTTCTACGGAAAAATTCTGCTGAGATATCCCTGTAGCGGCCACCATCTTCAATATTTCTAACTCGAGCACCTGCACGATAGAGAGTTCGTCTAAAATTAATAATATCTTGTTCTTGAATTTTCCGTAAAGATCGTTCATCTGCATTAGTTGGCCTCCTTATTGCAATCTGTCTCATAAATTGAGGAATTTCAACATCTCTAGGTCTTGCTGAAATGCCTAATCCTTCAAATAGTACTCCACTGTCTGGCGGAGTGGTTGTTCTTCTATTCACGGTGCTACTAGGTGAATAAACAGATGCATTCCGCTCCCTTGTCATGGTTGTACGGTAGCGAAATCGCCGAACATCAGGGGTAGTAAAGGAACCATTATATGCAGGCCTTAAGACATACTCCTTAAAGTCATCTTCTGCCCTCACAGAATGGAAAATAGAATCAAAGGGCTGTTTACATAGTGGACATTCAGCTTTGTTTTTTGACCACTCCTGTACACAGCGAAAACAGAACTTATGTAAGCAGCGATCTAAGTAAGACACATTATCAAATCTATCCAAGCATATAGGACACTTAGAATCAGGAGATGCATCAGCTGGTACTGTCTGCTGCAATTTGCTAGTGCCAGCTTTAGGTGAAAAGTTGTCCATTTTAAATTCTTTAGCAGCTGATGCCATTATCTGTAAAAGGGAAAGAAATATATCAGTAACCTGAAAAAAAAGAATGACTAAATAATCTGAACAAAAATGCAATAAAGACCTTGGAACATACTTTGGTGAAAATACCTGAATGGTTTATAGCATAGGAATATATAGTAACATACAGCACAAGCACTAAAGTTAGATTTCCTGGTCTTAAATCCTGGTTGCATACTATCAGTGTGACTGTGGACCAGTTACTACGCATGCGCTTTACTTTCACCTGTAGGTCAGTTATAATAGAACCTGCCTCCCAGGGTCTGTAAAGATGTAAAAAGACATTAGAAAAGGTACCCAGAACTTAATAATCTCTTAAATATTACGTAATATTCTATTTTGTTTAAAAAATAATTTAACTGGGCTGGCACTGTGGCGCAGCGGGTAAAGCCGCAGCCTGTAGTGCTGATATCCCATATGGGTGTAGGTTCAAGTCCTAGCTGCTCCACTTCCCATTCAGCTCTCTGCTATGGCCTGGGAAAGCAGTGGAAGATGGTCCAAGTCCTTAGGCCCCTGCACCCACATGGAAGACCTGGAAGAAGCTCCTGGCTTTGGATCTGTACAGCTCCAGCCATTGAGGCCAACTGGGGAGTGAACCAACAGATGGAAGACCTCTCTCTGCCCCTCCTTCTCTCCCTGTGTAACTCTGAATTTCAAGTAAATAAATGAATCTTTAAAAATATTAATACTAATAATTTCACTGAAAAATATTTCATATATACCCAAAAAAGATCAAAACAAAATATTCCAAATACCCATGTATCTACCACTCAGATTTAACACTTTTCATAGTTGCTCCAGATTTCTTTTATTCATTCCTCTATCTCTAAGAGAAAAAAAAACACAACCTTCAATTGATACTTTTTTTTTTTTTAATTCAACAGGTAGAGTTATAGACAGTGTGAGAGAGAGAGAGAGAAAAAGGTCTTCCTTCCGCTGGATCACTCCCCTTAATTTATACTATTTCTGTCTATTTCCTACCTTTCATGCACATATGCCCTTAATATTATATAGTATTGATTTACTTTATGATAATATTGTATATGTACTCTTCTAAAACAGCTTTAGTGAAATATAATTTACATATCAAAGTTCACCTGTTTAATTCTATAGTTCTCAAAAATTACTTAAAAAGGGATCTTTCAGTGGAGATAAAGTCAAATAAATGTAAAAGCACTTAAGGGCAATGGCTGACTAATAGTGCCCACTGAGTACTGTTATTATTATGACTACTATGCTATTGTTATTGTACTATTATAGTCAGCATTTCTAAAAAGCCTTCCTTGCCTTTTTTATTTAATCCAAAAGTCAACACCAAGGTATCTTGAAATTATGTTTCATTTCCCTTACCTATTACCTTTTCCCAAACGATCACTAGAATCTTAAAGATTAGCTTTGTTTTCTTTATATTCATCAATTTACATAGGCTTGTAACTTATAAAATGAAGTTGTTAGAGCTGAAATCTAACACTGATTGTATTGCATCACTGTTACCTGTAGACTCTCTTTGTGCATTCGATGCTGATCATTTTGTACATGTTAAATGTTAGCTTCTTCTTTTATGTTTCTGTGGGTTTACTATTCATCTTTTCCCACCTCCTTTATCACCAAAAATTCAATCACTGATCAACTGCTATCAAGTAAGTCAAATCATAGAACTGCAATTTTCTGGCCGGCGCCGGGGCTCACTAGGCTAATCCTCCGCATGCGGTGCTGGCACCCTGGGTTCCAGTCCTGGTTGCTCCTCTTCCAGTCCAGCTCTCTGCTGTGGCCTGGGAAGGCAGTGGAGGATGGCCCAAGTGCTTGGGCCCTGCACCTGCATGGGAGACCAGCAGGAAGCACCTGGCTCCTGGCTTTGGATCGGCGCAGCACACTGGCCATAGCGGCCATTTGGGGGGTGAACCAACGGAAGGAAGACCTTTCTCTCTGTCTCTCTCTCTCTCACTGTCTAACTCTATAGACCTGTCCAAAAAAAAAAAAAAAAAAAGAACTGCAATTTTCTAAGTCAAATAGAATTATGATTTCCTAAACAACATACTGGTCTTAAACTATAAGAATAAAAAATAAAACCCACAATAAAAACTTGGGAAATACAAGAATTCCCATCTCAGGTTTCAAATTAAATTTGTTCACAGGGCATACAGACTTTCTCAGAATAATAACTTAATAGTGATTAATGCTGTGCAAATGTTTCTTCAGGGGCCCAAATATTTCTAGTCCTCTATTTTCTAGAATAGAAATGCAAAAGCCACCACTGTCCTAAATTTTTTAAATGTTTATTCATTTTTTAATTTTTATATTTTTTCATCTTATTTGAAAGAGAGACAGTGGCAGAGACAGATGGACTAAGAGATCTCCCATCCGCTGCTTTACTCCCCAAATGCCCACAACAGCAAGAGCTGGGCCAGATCCCAGAAGCAGGAATTCGATCTATGTCTCCCACATGAGTGCAGGAGCCCAAGTTTTGGACCATGGTCTGATGCCTCCCTGAGTGCACAACAGGAAGAAGCTGTAATCTGAAGTGTAATGGGGACTCAAAGCTAGGCACTCTGATATGGGACGAGGGACTCCCAAACAGTGTCTTAACCAATGTTCTAAACACCTCACCTACCCTATCCTAGAATACTTAACAAATCTAAGCAAATAGAATTATAAATACATAATACTAATTGCTTTTTTGTTAATATATTTAAACTCTGAAACCTTACTACATACATTTCTCAGCATTCCCCCTACTTAAAAAACCAACAACATAAAAACTTTCAGGATCATAAATGGTGAACATGTCTTAGAGGAAAAGGGTAGGAAAGAGTGGGAAATAAACTAGACTGGTCATCAGAAGATCTGAAGACCAGGTTTCACCTGAAACTAATTCTTTAAGTTAGAGAAATCCACATTAACTCCAGATTTTAGTCTTCCCCTTTATATAATGAAGAGATTTATTAGAATTGGGAAAAAGATTGGTGAATTTTAATTCAGTATTATTTTAGCTTAATTTGTTTGAACTGTAGAATTTTAGTGTTAAGTAAATATCTCTAGTTCACATAAAAATTGACAACCCAAAATGAATTTTTAAAGGAAATTATTATGTGGTAAATTCAAAACTCAAATAAAATAAAATGGCAGCTAAGTAGGATTTTTTTAACAAATGAAATCTTAGTCTTTTCTTTCCTACTTTTAAGACTGTTAACCATAATGCTAAAGAATTAACTGGTAATATCCTCCATAATACGTAAAAAGAACAAGTAAGAGTTCTCTCTTGTATTTCTATTTTTTTATTTTTTTATTTTTTGACAGAGTGGACAGTGAGAGAGAGAGAGAGAAAGGTCTTCCTTTTGCCGTTGGTTCACCCTCCAATGGCAGCTGCGGCTGGTGCGCTGCAGCCGGCGCACCGCGCTGATCCGAAGGCAGGAGCCAGGTGCTTCTCCTGGTCTCCCATGCGGGTGCAGGGCCCAAGCACTTGGGCCATCCTCCACCGCACTCATGGGCCATAGTAGAGGGCTGGCCTGGAAGAGGGGCAACCAGGACAGAATCCGGTGCCCCGACCGGGACTAGAACCTGGTGTGCCGGCGCCACAGGCGGAGAATTAGCCTACTGAGCCGTGGCGCCGGCCTCTCTCTCGTATTTATACACAGGAATAACATATTTAGTATCAAAGAATGGTATTCATCAAATGATGATGATGATGCAAAAAAAAAACATGAAATGAAGGATTACCTCTCCAGAATCACCATTAAAATTAAAACAAAGAATTACCATATGACCCAACCAATTCCACACCTAGGTAACCACCCAAGAGAGATTCAAATAGAAAACTTTTGTGTGAATATCCACAGCAGTGTTAGTCAAAATAGTTCAAAACTGAAAATGAATAATTAACAGAATGTGGTCTATCCAGAAAATTATTACTTGGTAATAAGAGGAATAACATACTTATCTACCACCACCCATGGATGAACCACTTTATTATGCTAAATGAAAAATAAGTCACAAAAGACCACATATAGTACGAAACTATTTATATAAAATGTCTGCAAGGCAAATTAATTTAGATAGCAAGTAGACTGGTGGTTGCTGGGGGCAGTAGTCAGATTTCTCTCTGGATGATGAAAATGTTCTACAATTTGGCTATGGTGATGGTTGCACAACTCTGTAAATACACACACAAAAAAACCCCACTGAATTATATAATTAAAGCAGGTGAACTTTATGGATGGAATTTAAATTATACCTCAACAAAGCTGTTTAAAAATACAAATTGAGGCTAAAACCAGGATGGTTGGAGAGAGATGAAGACTGCCAGATTTGCAAGAGGTTCTGGATTTATGCAGCAAATCTGTGCCTATCTGAATGTAAACACATTCAGAGCTTCAGGTTCCAGGAAAAAAAAAAAAACCTGCATAAAGCTTTCTCTATGCTAGCACACTAGTAACTAGGACTAGAAATTAATTTCCCCATAGAGGAAATTAATCAGTTCTGATCCCAATTCCTAAACTGCCCCCCAAATCCAAGCCAAAGTTTATTTTTAGGATAAACTGATTAAACCGATCCTTCTCTTCTCAAATCTTCAAATCTACTGGTTTTTAACAAGGATAACACCCCTTTATCTCACAATGCAGGGAAAATTTAGATAATCAACTGAAAGGCAAGGCACACATATGTGGGGAAAATGGGTAAGTGAAACATAGAATCTAGAAGCTGGAATCTAAAGATCAGACAGCTGAAAGACCGCACAGGGGTATAAACGAAGCAGGGCTGCTGGACAGAATCCTTTTTATAATCACCACCACTTTTAAGTAGAAGCACCCAGCTGAAAAGGTGGTGGTGCGAAGGCACGGATTTTACATAAACAGCAGCACAAGTCACACAGCAGTAACATATACTGGTTGTTACTTGAAAATCAGGGACATTTGGGTTGTGTTCAGCACCCGTAACTGACTGGAAGGGGCCCCGGTGAGCACTAAGTCATCATCGTACTTTTCCTCGTACCCCCAACCCCCCCTTATCTGGGCACTGCCCCTTCCAGTCTAGGAAGGGAGGAAAGCTGAGCTACCTGGGCGAAGCCGTCCCACTCGGGCAAGCCCAGCCCAGCATGTGCACCGCTGCTCCGACAACTCCAGCAGTCACGGCGCTGGTCGCTTTCTCGGGCTGGGACGTGCCCCGGCCGCGTTACGTAACCACAACCCACGGAGGCACCGCTATTCCCATTTTCACGGACAGGCTCCGGAGTTCAGGGGACCTAGCCAAGGTCACACCCCCAGTCAGGGCCGAGCCCACGGTTCAGACTCAAGCTCTGTTTTGTCTGTTTTTCTAGAGAACAGGACGCTCTTCGCCGGACGCAGCCAGGCTGGCGACCCTCACAGCGCCTCCGGAAACGCACCCCTCAGCCCGCCCACCGTCCAGATCCACAGGTGCGCCGCCAGAGCCGCCCGCCAGCCCCGCGGCGCCGCCGAGGCCCGGACAGCCCCTCAGGCCGAGGCCGCACCTCCTCGCCCCTAGGCCGCGCTCCCGGCGGGGTCGCCAGCGCGCCCAGCCCTCCAGACCCCCACACCCCATTGTTCCCGGCGCAACTCACCTCGGGGGATGCAGGCGCGGCCCCGGCTGGGGAGCTCGCGGCAAGCTCCCGGCGGCCCAGGAAGCTGGGTCGGTGACGGCAGGATCCGCGAAGGCGGACCCGGCGACTTCTCCGCCTACCCTCAGGCGCGGGAGCCGGCGCCGGCGCTTCACCCTCCTCGCGAGACAGCGGAGACCCCGGCGGCTGCTTCGACCCCTGTGACGTAAAGCACTTTTCACCAATGACGGCTTGGGGGCGGGGCACAAGGCGAGACCCAGCCCCCGACTCCCGGCGCATCAAAACAAAACACCCGCCGTGTCGACGCATGCGCGGGGGGGACGGGCGCCCGCGCCGAGGGCGGGGCTTAGCGCGCACCGGCCCGAGACCGCCCTTCCCCCAACGCTCCAGACCCGACCCCGGAGTCGAAACTCAGCCTTCGCCTCGGTTCCCGTTACTATTCGTCCTAGCGGGTGACGGGGTTGGCAAGTTAACGTTCACTGCCGACTCACCCGGGACTCACGGTAACTAGCTTGGTCTCCAGCCTCTCCGAACTCTGTTGAGAAGTTACTAAAATTAGCTCCAGTGTACAGCCGTGGGAACTGTTCCATGGACTTCCCTCCGGTTGCACGGGGTTCGAATGAGACCCGAACAGTAGCCTACGAAGTCTTCAGGGGGAACCCCGAACGGGGCCCGAGTTCTCCCTCAGACCTACCGTTCTTCTCTCCGAGAAGTGCCTCCTGTCTCCTTCGCACGCCCGGAAATCGGGGTTCTGAAAACTGCTCAAATGGTGTCCAGCAAGAACCCCGGAGCCCGCGGCGGCCCGTTACCACATTCCACCAGTCAGGCCTCACCTTCGAGCGCCCAAACATTGGCGGGCTGCACTGGGCGCACTCGCGCCAAACCGCCGGCCCGGGCGCCCGGCAGGTCCCACCCGCCGCCGGCCCGGGCAGCGGCTCGCTCGGCCAGCACCTGTTGCCCGGCCGGTCCCTCGGCGCGGCGACGCGTGCCACGGAAATCGCCGCTTCCACCAGCGGGCTGCGGCGCGCCCCGGGGCGGACTGTCCAACGAGGGCTCAGTTAACAAGATTTCAACAACCGCCACCGCTGTGTAAAACGGTGGGGTATTCCCGCTCAGGTCGGAGACCTGTCTACACCGTGTGGACTAGGTGCGCGGGGAGAACGGTACTGCTTGGATCCTCAGATGCCTGTGAAACAGTTTTCAAATAAACTTTTACACGCACGCGACGGCACAGTACTTTGCATTAACACTGCACTGCATCTGAAAGGGAAATCGTCTATTTCTTGAAGGTGCAGGCCCAGCAATCGGGGTGACAAAGGGCAATTCCTAACGCACTTTCTCGCTTATTTCATCCCCTCCCCGAAAGGCGGGCTGGGCCCCCGATCGCCTAACTCCGCTCCCAACTCCGGGCGGAAGCGGCCGGCCGGCCTGCCGGGACACGCTCCGGGAAGCCAGGGGGCGGGCGCTCCTGCCCGGCTGCAAGATGGCCGCCGCCGCCCGGCAGCCGCCGCCCGGGAGGTCGCCCTAGGAGCCGCAGCCTTCGCCCGAGCCCGCGGGCCGCCGCCAGCCTGCTCACCATGACGCCTGTGAGTCGCCGCACGCTGGATCGGATTTACTCAGCGGTAGGTCGCGGGTCTGGCGCAGCTCCACGCCGTCGACTCCCCGGGCCCGCGGGCGGAGGGGCCCCTGGATCTTCAGCGCCCAGAAACTCCAAAGCCCATTTCTGCATTAAGCGTTTCACGCCCTCGCCCGGGCCCGCCTCTTCCGCCGCTGACGTGAAGGCTGCCGGGTAGGCTTGCCTCCGGAATCCCGTCTATTGGCCTGGGTCGCCGAATTCCCACCTTAGCAACCGCGCACGGAAACCCACACCGACGGGCGGGGACGTTCCACGCCCTGTGTTGTGGTTTGTGCTTTTGTTACCTTTCCGCGTTTGTTTTCTCGATAGCTGCTGCTGGCGATCGTTTTACTCTCCTGGGGATACGTCATCTATGCATCCACCGTGGCCGCGCGGCGACAGTTAAGGAAGCAATACCCGAAATTCTGGGATGAATGAAGACTTGTAATTCTACTGAATTTAGTTCTTTGCAAACACAGTTCTTTCCCTTATGCTTATCCGACACCTTTGTAGATTTACAAAATAAAATTCATACTGCAAAGTGCCCAGGTTCATTTTTGTATAGTCCTTTATAAGCACTGATACTTTAAAAATTGTCTTTTATATTTCGTATATATGACCAAATTCAAAGCAACTGCAATTTGACAGCCTTAGATCATAGCTGGGATGACAGACCTTTCACTCTGATTTCTAAAACACTGCCTTAAACATTTCTCAGAAAGCCCTCTTTCAAAACAGGTGTTCGGAATTTCTGTTCTATTTGCTTGTTGCAATATCTCACTCTGTTGTATACTCACACCAAATTAGGTAAGTACTCTGTTTAAGCAAAAGAATTGTGACTAAAAACTTTCTACAGCTTGTTTTCCAAGTCAAGAAGGGCCAACATCAGTAGGTGGGTCATTCATGTCATCTGTGTAGCAATGTGGTGGTATTTCTGTTAAATTACCTAGAGTCTTAAATTGTACAGTTGAGAAGAAATAGGACACTTCTCTGAAAGTCAGCTTTATTGAAGTTACTAGTCCAGAAAATGTATTCAGTAAATCTGGTGATGGAAGAACAAACTTGGGCTCATACACCTTTGAAATTTTTATTTAATCTTCAGTGGTGTTCATCAGGAAATTCTTTCATTGGTGGAATTACTTCTCCAGTCTCCAGAATTATATCACCCTAAGGAAAAAAAAAAAAAAAGCAGCATTTAGTAGACAAATCTGAAATCTGCAGCACTGGAAGTTCCATTCTGCTCTATGTCCAACATTGAATGGAAGAGCCAATTGATCTCTGGCATTCACTTTGAAAGTCTAAAGATGAGTAATCAGTATCCAAAACCTTCTGGTACAAGGGAAAAAATATGGGAAATTTCACTCAAAATATACAGAAAAAACATGAAAGTTATGTCCTCCAAGTGATAAAGGGATAATCTTTATTTTGCATGGCTCCAAGAAATAGAAGCCATAAAAAGAAGCTGAAAAGAAGCATGTTGTGTTCAACTCTTAAGAAGGCAGTCTATTCCTAGCAACTGAATACATAAATGGGTCACAAGTTTTCCATTTGAGTTAATAATGCAAACAGAACACAAACTTTGGGTAACTGGTCCTGGTGTCTTTCTCAAACCCACATAACAATGTGTGGTTGAAAGGGCATGTGCTTTAAATCAAGTAGTGAAACTTCTTGTAACCTCAACAGACACACTGTATACAACTGTATTTTTTTTAAACATTTACTTTTGAAAGTTACAGAGAGAGACATTCTATCCACTGGTTCACTCCCCATATGGCCACAAAGGCCAGTGCTGGGCCAGGCCAAAGCCAGGAGCTTCATCCTGGTCACCCATGTATAGCTTGGGCCTGTGGAAAGTTTTCCACTGCTTTCTCAAGCCATTTGGAACTGGAGCAGCCAGTACCCGAACAGGTGCCCATAATGGATGGTGGTGTCGCAGGCAGCAGCTTTACCCACTATGCCACATTGCCAGCCCCAGCTGTATGCAATTTTAGAAAAATTACTTAACTTCTTCTTTAGCCATGTGTTTAATATAACAAACTCTCTTGGGGCCAGTGTTGTGGCACAGCGGGTTAAGCCGCCATTTGCAATGCCGGTATCCCACATGGGCAAGAGCTAGAGTCTTGGCTGCTCCACTTCTGATCCATCTCCCTGCTAATGCATCTGGGAAAGCAATGGAAGATGGCTCAGCTCCTTGGGTCCCTGCACCCACTTGAGAGACCCAGAGGAAGCTTCTGGCTTCAGTTGTGGCCATATGGGGTGTGAGCCAGCAGGAAGATCTCTCTCCCTCCCTGTAGCCCTTTCAAATAAAAAATAAAGTCTTAAATATATTTGTCTTTTTCAGATGGCCTCCACATAGCTGCCACAGAGTTGAGAGAGGCAGACACATGATGACAAATAAATCAATAACTAGGTATAGAAAGAGAATTTTCTTTCTGCATGTGAGACTGACTAGAAGCAAACACATTAGATGTCTACCAGGTATTTTCCCATGCTTGCCAAATGTTAAGGAAAATGGGTGGTAAAAGAAATCAAACATACAGACTACAAAAGCTTGTGGTATCTGAAATTAAGACAACCTCTGCCATTCAACCTTTGAGCAAAATGCTTATCTTGCAGGCTGCACAAATGCTGAGGAAGTGTGCTTCCCAATACCCATTTAGATGTGGCCTAGGTCGATACTGAAAACCAGGAACCCTCTGGACAGAACCAGGGACCCGGAAGAACAATGAACAAAGGTGTTCCTTCCAGAAAACAAAATGAGTACCCATTCAAGTAGTTTTCCACAAACAAGGGATAGAAGTCTTTACAATGTCTGGCTACTTGGATTTCAGAATTCTTAAGAACAAATGATTGCTGTGCTATCCACACAGGGGGTAGGTATTGTGGCACAGCAGGTTAAGTTGCCCCTTGAGATGACCATACCCCATATTGAACTGCCTGGTTCTAGTCCCAGCACTTCCACTTCCACTCCAGGATCCTGCTAATACATGCTGGGAGGCAGCAGATGATGGCCCCTGCCACCTATGTGGGAGACCCAGACGGAGTTCCTGGCTCTTGGTTTCAGCCTGGCCCAGCCTGAGCTATTGCAGACATTTAGGGAATGAACAAGCAGATGGAAGATATCCTTCTCTTTTTCTCACTCTCCCTGTCCTCTTTTCTGTCACTCTACCTTTCAAGCAGAAGAATGTGTGTGGACAGGGGACATAGTTAACGTGTCTTCTTGGTTCATAGATTCTCAAATCAAGAGAAGTCACATCTGAATCTGACATACTACTGTGCATGATCTCAAGATCTCCTATTTGGAGTTGGTTGCATTGATGGAAAGGAAGTTAAGGAAGGGACTGAGTATGTGACATGCATAGGTAGAAGGAAGCAGAGAGCTTTGGGTGATCTGAAGGATGGGCTGTGGCAGACTCCATGCATAGAAGTTTATGGAAGAAAAGACAGCATATAGATATTTGGGACAGTGAGTTCTGGCTATTATCACTTGAGTAGAAGAGATAACAACCTACTTTTAAACTTAGTCCTTAAAAATACGCTCAGACAACTCTTTTCCCCTACGATGATCTTGGAAGCCTTAAAACCCAGAGGCACAGCTACAAGATTAATGATCACCTATTCACATTAGTCTGTGATGTCAAGAAGCTATAAACTTGTCTTGGTAAGCCAATGAGTAGAGTCAAGATTTTGTTACCACCTATTCTAAAACATATAAAAGTGAGCATTCTTCAGTTTCTCAAAAGGGAAGATTTCCAAAGGGGCCAATGACAGAGAAACAGGAAAGAAACATCCATAATGGGAAAAAGTACAGAAACAGAATTGCTACGTTATCACTGATGTGTTCTTCTGAAGAAAGCCCTCCTTTTCCTTTAAGGGGGAATAGCAAAATAGATGCTAAACAAATCTAAGTAGGAGACCAAATAAATATAAATTACTCAACTGATGATACTAGCAAGATAATTTCCTATGTTGAGACTCCCTGGGCCCTGACATCAATTACAGAGTTCCAACTGGATGGTTAGCCAATTTTGTGGTTTCATTATAATTCCATTATTGCAATAGATAATGGATGAATTTGACTACATCATTTATTTGAAGCAAGAATCAACAGTGAGGGGCCGGTGCTGTGGCGTGCCGTGGCAGGTAAAGCCGCCTCCTGCAGTGCTGGCATCCCACATGGGCACTGGTTTGAGTCTCGGCTTTTCCACTTCCACTCCAGTTCTCTGCAATGGCCTGGGGAGGCAGTGGAGGATAGCCCAAGTCCTTGGGCCCCTGCACCCATGAGGGAGACCCAGAGGAAGCTCTTGGCTCCTTGCTTCAGATGGGCGCAGCTCCGGCCATTGTGGCCATCTGGTGGCTGAACCAGCAGATGGAAGACCTCTCTCTCTGCCTCTGCCTCTCTGTAACTCTTCCTTTCAAGTAAACAAAAACAAACAAACAAACAAACAAAATCAGGGGCCGGTGCTGTGGTGTAGTGGGTAAAGCTGCCGCCTGCAGTGCTGGGGGTGGTAAGAAGAATATTCTCAAGCTAGAACCAACAGGGTCCACTGAGGAATCACTCCATAAGCATCCTATATGGGTGCAGGCATCCTATATGGGTGCCAGTTCGAGTCCTAGCTGCTCCACTTCCAATACAGCTCTCTGCTATGGCCTAGGAAAGTAGTAGAAGATGGCCCAAGAGCTTGGGCTCCTGAACCCGTGTGGGAGACCCAGAAGAAGCTCCTGGCTCCTAGCTTCAGATCGGCACAGCTCCAGCCATTGCAGGCAATTGGGGAGTGAACCAACAGATGAAAGACCTCTCTCTCTCTTTCTCTCTCTGCCTCTCCTTCTTTCTCTATGTAACTCTTTCAAATAAAATAATTATTTAAAAAAATCAACACTGAATTTTGTTTTTTTTTTTAATTATAGAATTTAAGTTATAGTAGTTCATTATCTGTGACTAGACAAGAAATTAACATGTTTTACTATGCTAATAATGACCTCACAGCCAGCCAGTAAAAACAAAAACTATTATACAGTCTTTCAATACTGAAAGAACTAATTAACATTTAAAACGCACATGAACAGATTTTAAAATCACAGATGAGGAGCTTTAAAGTCAAACCTTGAAAAAGAGGGACAAAGCCATAGGAGTATGAGTTTGGAAATAACAATTCAGTTGCTGTCAGCATGCTCAGATTTGTGCCTTAAGTCTTTTCAACATGAAATGACACCAGTGAAAAACTTGGTACCTTGAACTCACACTTTAGACAAAGTCTTAACACAAGATTGAAAATAAATGTGTCCATTTCCCACTTTCAACTATAATTGCTACCTCACATTATTTCCTATTTAAAAAAATACAGCAAAAAGAGACACATTTTAGTCTAATGATCTCTTACAGGGAAGAAAAGAGAAAAATAATGAACAAAAAAACTATGAAGTCTTTAGACTTACTGGGAATACTCTGGGCTTCCTTTGAACGATGGCATATGGTTTTGTCTGCAAGAAAAGTAACTGTGTTAATTATGGTGTTATAGTTTCTTCTGAAAATAAATCACATCC